CAAAGCCTGCAGGGAACAGATTCATGTCTGACTTTACATGTTTACCAAGGCAAGACCATTTATCTTCAGATTAAGTTTATAATCTTGACATATTGCGTAAAGCTGTAAAATGGATACGGTGCCTCTGTAGTATTTACAGTTATTATTTCTTTTTCTATACAGTACTTATAAAGACAAAATGATAAAATACTAAAACAATAGCACAAATAAAACAGATAAAAACAAATGAGACCGTACCAGTGAACTCTCCAAAGAAGCGGTTACAGACCAGCCTCAGCAGCGGTCTGATGTTCAGCTTCAGTTCCTCTTTACTCAGGTGGATCCCCAGCTCATCCAGAACTCGGGGGAGAGATGTGTCCACATCCCCAACCACCTAGACACAAAGAGGATTTGGGTGAGGATTACACAATGAGGTTGGCAACTCAGCCTGAGCCTGATGGGGCCTGAAGGTACTGAGCTAGCTGCGTAGCCTTGTTACACATTTGGAAAATATGTCTCCGACCTGTGAGAGGATCTTGTAGAGAGGCTCCAGAACAAATTCCACAAAGCTGCGCTGAGAATTACTGCTGGGAGCTTTCTTTGTGAACTTGCGGCTGAACAAAAGAAAACAAATTGACAAATAAGATTATGTTAAAAGAGGAGAATGGCTTAGCACGTAATATAAGCATTCTGTTGAAATCCAAATAAGTGACTCACGTTTTGGGGTTGAAATAAATGTCTCCCCAAAGCCTCTTTGAAAACTCATTATAGTTGATGTCACCTGCGAACACAAAGAGAGGCGTTAGTTAATACCTTACCAACTGTTTGTGAGAGCATTGTGCCGAAGAGTTGTCTTACCGTAGGTGTCTGAGTAGATCTTTGCAAAGGACCCCAGGGTGAAACAGATACTGTACTGAGAGCTGGCGAAGCACACGTTTCCGAGGAGGGGAGAGACCACCAAGTTCTCATCTGTGGAGTATGTACTGAAGGAAGAGAAATGATTTTTGTCACTAAAGGCCAAAGTCAGTGTGGATACTTAAAGATAAATATTCTTTGAATGTTAAAGATCATTTTTATGGATCACAGAGACAACCCACCAATATGCAGCACTACATCACATGAACCCAGTCATGCTCTGCAGACAATGTGGACATTATGGATTTTAAAGTATTACCTGAGCAAACCATTGACCTCATCCACAATGTGACGAAGTTTGTAATAAGCGTCTGTGGGAGGCAGTTTGAGCTCCACGATGAGCCGGTCCACCTTGTTGATGCAGATGGTGATGGCCATACGCTCCTGGACTGCGTGTTTGATCAGACGCTCTGTATTCAGCATCACCTGGGCAGAGACACACAGAGCTCTGGGTTATATGGGGAGCTGCAGAACGTCAACATATATGCAGAAGTGCAGGATTGGGAGAAGAGCTAAACAAATAAATAAATAAATAAGTGACTCACTCCTTCTGCTGCATCGATGAAGAGGACAACACCATCTGAGATCCGGATGCTAGACGTGACCTCGTCAGAGAAGTTGACGTGGCCTTCGAGGGAGACACAAGGTTTTACATCACTTTCTGCTATTAAACATCAAAACCCAAACACACGTTCAGGAATCAAAGCCTCCAGCAGACACACTGTACCTGGTGTGTCCATGATGTTGAACAGGTAGGATTTGCCTCTGGAGTCTGGCAGGACCATTGTGACAGGGGTACTCTTGATACCAACTCCTCTCTATGGAAAACATACAAGATAGGAATCATCTATGGGAAAGATAATTCTAATCCTATTATTTCAAAAGGTTATTTCCTTTAAAATGATCATTTCTGGCGACAAGGTCCTGCAACCTCCTCACCAAACCACTCACCTCCTGCTCTGTAAAGAGGATGTCTGTGTATCGCAGCTGGAAAAAAAAAAAGTCATGTTAGTTTCTGTTGTCATACACATAAGTGTAATAAATAATAACGTGTGTTTATTATTACAGTCAACACTCACATCCACATCATCTCTCTTCCTGATTTCTGGGTGCGTCTGCTCAATCAGGCAGTCCACAAAACAGGTCTGAATGGAATAAACAAATCCATTAGTTCCCCGTATGCTCCAAAACATTCATTTTAGAAACACGTGTCCTCTTTTGGCTAAATGCCACAGAAGAGCCCTGACCGGAAACCCGCAGCCAAAAAGAGAAACGGAGCCAGAAGCAGCCAGAAGGCAGACACTAACCTTGCCGTGGTGAAGGTGACCACACAGGGTGACGTTACGGATTAGCTCGGGACCGTCCATCAGATCTGCAAGGAATCTGCCAAGAGACAGGAGAGATGTCACAGCTTAAAAAACACTCAGTGAACACGTGTAGGTGGAAGACATGAACTGGGAAATACTCAAGATATGTCAAGTAAGTCAAGTGCTGCTTATCCAGTTACCATCTGGATGAACTAAATCGTATCGTTAGACTTTTTAGGCTAAAAAAAGAAAACAAACATCATGCACATATTCATGCAGATGACTTACTCCATATCGTAAACAGTGGCAGGCAACTCCTGCTCCATCAGGGTGAACTGCTTGTTCTTCACAGGCTTGATGATGGGCTCTGCAGTGGAGAGAAAGCAACAGTGTTCGTGTGTTTACCTTAACTGCATACGACGTTATAAGTATGCAAAAACATGTGGATTACGTAACCAAATAGCACTTTAATGTAAGCTGCTAAAATAAGTTGTGCTCTTTTCTTTGTATCTAACCTGTAAGAGGCTGCGTGTCTTCCTCTTGAACAATCGTTTCCACTTCGGGCCCATAAACCTCCTCTGCTGTAGGATAGTACTTCTTGTCCTCGTGCAGGACCACCTCCATGCCCGGGACATCTTCATCAGCATCAGCAGGCTCATCGTCATCATCTTCATCACCCTGCACAAGGAGAGAGCGATTGTGACCGCCGCACGTGAGCACGTACAACCTGAAAGTACTGCCTGGTAATGACTATATGCGCTGATTTCGAGCAGTACCTCGTCAACGTCTCTGTCCTCTGCATCCAGATCGTCTTCGTCGTCGTCAGAGTCCAGCTCTGGGCCGATGTAGTTTCCAAACTCGTCATACAGATCCGCCTCCATCTTGTAGAGAACTGAAAGAGGGGTCATGTATTAATGAATATTCAGATCTGAGTGGGTTTCATTTATTGTAGTTGTTGCCCATGTGCAACTGCGGCTACTGTTTGTGTTATCTGTCGTTGTGGATTCTTACTGTTGTTTCTCTTCTACACAGTGTTTATATTATATTATAGTAT